ATTAGAGACGTGAAAAACTAAAAAGTTCGAGTGACGGTTGCCTTAAATTGTTTTCAGCTTTTCTGCATTCAACTTATTGACGTAATAATTAGCAATGCCAAAAACAATTAGTAGTTTGTTAAATAGATCATTTTTAAAAAAACTGTTTGTGACATGCTTTTAATTACAATTAAAAGTAATTATGTTCAGTTTCTACACTAAAAATTTTTATTTATTTTGTAAACAAATAATGGGTTAAAGTCAAGCTACAAAAGTTCATCTGCACAAATTTTTAATAGGGTCACACAAAAAAAACATACAAAATCAAACAATATAAATGAGATCAAAACACAAATTGGCATAAAATGTGACAGTTTTTTCAATTACTAAACTTTGACATTCTAACAATACAAAAAAATATGTGTGTAAAAAACTACTAAATTTTTTGTAAAACCAATCAAAGTTTAATAAAATTGAAATTTTTAATTAAATGTCTTGGCTGTTAATTATTTCAACTTATGAATGGACATCTAATCAAAATAATAGTTGCCCAATTACTACAAAAAATATTATTTTGAACACTTGGATATGTAGTATTATTGAGAAAATGTTGTTGTGATATGCGTATAATCTATAGGGACTTAGTCACTAGAGGACATACTGTGCGCACCTCATCAGGGGGTCAGAAATGCCTGCAGAGGTTTTAGGCTACTGAGCGCAAGTAACAGATATTTTGTTTGGGAGAGTGCCTAGCTTTAGCACACGTGCTTGAGTTACAGACGATGACAGACAACAACATTTTTTCAGTTTAAAACTTTATCAATTTACTAATTTCATTGTACCGAAAAATGTTTTTACCAACAACTTCCTCACCTACATCTGCTTTTGCATCACAATGGGCAAATTGGTTTTATGCTTTTCTTCATTTCCTCTGCTTCAGTCCTGACCAGTTCAACGATGTTATGACTAAGTTAGCTTTTCTTGTTGGATCTACTACAAAAAAGTTTTCATCATCTTTTAATCCACAAAAAAAGTTTACAACCCGACCAACAGTACTTCTTCAAGCAATATTACCATCATCTGGTTTTACTATTATATTTAGAGCTTTGTTTGACACTGGGGCTAGTTTTTCAGTAATTGAACATGATTTGGCTTCTTTGCTATTTAATAATGGTGCTATTACTGAGTATGTTTGGCCCGTTTTAGTCAGCAAACCATTTTATAAAGTGAAAACATTAAGTTATCGTAAAATAAGTGGGCTGACATTGCAGTCAGTTGAAAATACATCAGTGAACATAACGACTTCAATTCTTGTTGACGAATATTGCACAAACATTGCTGAGTATCTGCCTGTCGATTTAGTTGTGAAAAAGATGGCTTCTTTAGGTCTGCCGATGGTTGAATCGGGTGAACTGGGGAGAACTATGTGGTCAGAAGATGAACCAAAGTATGTAGCACATGATTTTAAATATATTTGTTCCCAAACTTACTTTCTGTTCTTTCAGTTCACAGTATCGCGTTGACATGATCATTGGCCAGGACCTACTGAATGCCCACTTTAACATTCATCCCATTCAACCAACATATCACATCACTCCATCACTGGCCATCATTCGCACAAAAATGGGAATAGCTTTTCTTGGACAGTTTGATACTGATAAATTCAAACAGTGGATTTTGAGTACAACTGAATCTCAGAAGATGAAGGAAGCACTGTACCCAAATAACACTAATGAATTTGATATTTTAACTGCTCAAAATGAAGAAGTTAACAACATTTTGGCTTTTACCATTTTTGACATCAAGAAAAATTGGATTAAACTTTTATGTAAGATTTAATTATACTTGTCAATACTAATTTTAATATTTTTTATTTTAGATTCTTTTTTAATGTTGTTCATTTACATTTATTTTTTTATTTTTTACTTTGCGTATGGTTGTTTACTGGCTTTTTATTTCAAATGTCTTCTCATCGTTACTTTTTCTTGTCGTTTAATTTTCATCAAGTCAGCATACACTTTTTGTTTGAGTATTTTTTTTGCGGCAGTTATTGGTACTAAAGAAGCCTATGAATATTCAATCATATCTTTTTTAAAAGTTTTGCTAAGGAGAAGCACAATTACTTCAGATTTGATGCCGTACAAAATACATCCTCAACTTGCAGTAACAGTGAAATGTGGCACCTGCACTAAAACAGTTTATGCTTTTATTGATACAGGAGCTTTGAATTCTTATATTTGCAACAAACTAGCCAACGAACTAAACGCTGAGTCATCTGAAACTATAGTATATGCAAACAGTGAAAAAGAAAAATTTATGAACATTGAAATTGGCAAACAAAATGACGATCAATTTACAAAAATTAAACTGAAATTAACTTCAGTTTTGTTTGGTTCAAGTCTATGCAAAAACAAAAAAGCACATTTATTTGCCAAAATTGCCAGAATTGCCAGCTTTTTGAACATTTCGATGTTTGATGTACCTGAAGAGACCGATGAAAAGTTACTAATTGGTGCTGATTTAATACCTTTTTTGCTGTTTAAATCACCTTTGCTTCCAAATCGTATCATTTCATTGGCAACAAACCTAAACTTAATTGAAACTCGTCTCGGGTTCTACATTCAAGGAACTCAATTCAACTCTGAAATTGACTTTTGTCACAACTGGTTACATAACTCGTTACAAATTCATCCACTTAACAGTTTTTTAAGTTATGTTCTTATTACTTTTTTCTTTGTACTACTTTTTGATAAAAACTATACTAATTTTTTTATTTAAATAATTTTTACTAGTTTTGTTAGTTGTAAAAACTCATTTAAAAAACTTTTAATTTTTAATCTACTATTTTTTACCTTGTATTTTATAACCCAAACTTATGCACATTGGCGTAAAATGTACTCCTGTCATTGGCAACATTTTTATATAAAAATAACTCTAATGAATTGTCAAGTGCAAAGGGATTTTACGCTCGTTTGTTTGAGAGTGTGAGGGTCCAAATGCTGATGTAAGCTACTACTACTCTGACTGGCTATGACCTGTTCTGAAACAGGCTAAAATTTTGCTCCTCCTTCATGTCATCTTCAGACATTCTTATCTGTCCTGTACGTCACGAGTTGAATGTTCCAGATTTGAAAAAGTTAAAGAAAAAGTGTAGAGGATGGTGGTGTCAACTGTCAACTGACACCAGAGACACAGTTTTGACTAGAAAAGCTGTCACAATGTAACAAATTTGGTTTCTGCTGATATTTAAGATGTTTCTGGTGAAAATCGAAGATTGCGCTGCCGCCGCTGTTTCTTCATCATCATCATCACTTCATCTTCCTCAGAGAAAAGTTGTCATTATTGTGGCATTTTATTTCATATGATTTATGTTTTTACGTCGCTCACCACTACAAGTTCAGTAAGTATTTCTTGCAACAAATTCACAAGTAAACACGTGCCCCTCGCATCTAATTATCTTCTTTCACCTTAACTCTCGTCGTAGGTGCCACCACCATTTTCATCGTTTTCTACTTTGATTGATACTCATACCACTTCTGCACTGAGCCTGTACTTTATTTAGCTGACGGTGTGTGTGTGTGTGTGGCCCCGACGCCTGAGACGCCAGAGATCTTCTCACGAGAACATCTGCTGACGTTTGATTTTGGACGGAGTGTGGCTCACAGTGAGGCGAAAAGAAGCAAGGAGAAGACACCTCACCTGACACCGCACACTCTCTGCATCATCAATAGGCAGCAGCAACAGTCTACTAAAGACACCTCTCGACGGTCATCAGGATGCTTCTTCGGCATTTGGCAGCTATACCGTACAGCGGTGAGGACGATACTGCAGGATACTACCAGAGCAGTCTTTTGCCAGGCGACACCGGATTCCTTCAGCATACTTTCGCCACCAATCCGATCACCACCACCACCACCACATCAGAGAAGTCACTCAATCTGGGAGCCATGGATCTGCTGGGCGCCTTTGGTGGCTACATCAATCCCTTTGCCTGCCCACTTGCCGTCTTTGAGACGCGCGTTCTCGGTGAGTATTTGAGTGAAAATTTGAAGAGGCACCTTTTGAATTATAAAATTCAATTTCTTTTTCTTTTGCAGAGAACTACTGGGTGTGCTGTCCCTTCTGGTACGTGAACGACCTGATCATGGGAGTGATAGAGCGGGAGTGCGGCAGTGCTGCCGTCGGCTCCATTGACACCTACCGAGAGATGGTCGTTCCGCTGATGAGAGAGCGCTGTCCGGCGGACAAGCAGGACGCCATTGGCTGCAACACCTTCTACCACCTTGCTCGCCTCATCCTCGTTCTCCTCCTCCTGCTGGTGCTGCTGATCACCATCTGGGCGGTGGTGGTCACCGTGCGCTACAAGCGCTTGAGAAGGCAAATCAAAACAGATCGGAAGAAGGAGGTGAAATCATCATCGGGTNTAGAGCGGGAGTGCGGCAGTGCTGCCGTCGGCTCCATTGACACCTACCGAGAGATGGTCGTTCCGCTGATGAGAGAGCGCTGTCCGGCGGACAAGCAGGACGCCATTGGCTGCAACACCTTCTACCACCTTGCTCGCCTCATCCTCGTTCTCCTCCTCCTGCTGGTGCTGCTGATCACCATCTGGGCGGTGGTGGTCACCGTGCGCTACAAGCGCTTGAGAAGGCAAATCAAAACAGATCGGAAGAAGGAGGTGAAATCATCATCGGGTAAGTTTATTGAAGTTCCCAAAAGCAAATCGCGCCCATCATTCACCAAACCGACCTCACTACAACTCGAACTTCGACCACTGACCAACGGTCACAAGAATAATTATAATGACAACAACAACTGCCCTGATGTGTAAGCGAATACATGATGTTAATGAATCCAAAAAACTATTGGCAAATAAAAACTTTGCTTGGCATTTAACTTTTTAGTACATTGACGGTGAAAAGATGTCACCGCTAATCAGCAAGCACAGTTGAGAAAGTCCAAAGTAAAATAGGTAAAAGAAAGTTGTCTACCTCCAGGTTGAAGTCCACTATCACTAACAGGATGGCCCTCTCTAGCCACTCCTGCACACCGAGCACACACTCAAAAGCATTTAATAATCAGTGCAGTGAACCAATTAGTGCACTTTAATTGATTGTTGTTGTCAACAAAGGTTGCTGGAAAATACAAAGTAAAATCTCCAACATGTTGCTCTGCATTCTTCTCCCCGCGGCAACGTATGTGACATAACTCGGAGTTGGGCATAGCAAAGATCCATCAAACGCACATCATACACAGGCACAGGGCAAACACATTAGCTCTTCTTTTCTAATCTAATCGAGTGAAAGCTGATCTTCTTTCTCCCTCTATCTCGGTGGAGATATACCACTGCTACTTTGGAGCACTGCAGCTGTCTTCTACCTCTTAAGAGCAGTGGTCTTCTCCGTTTTCGGCTTTGTTTGTTGTCGTCCAGTCAGCCGCTGACAGACGCTGACAGTTTCGAATCTTTGCACACTATGGCGCGTCACCACTTCCTCGTGTCGTGTTTTCTTCTGCTGACAATTTCAGCTGCTCTGACAGCTGCCGCCCACTACGAGGCCAACTGGAAGTCCATTGACTCGCGTCCACTGCCGTCCTGGTTCGACAAAGCCAAGGTGGGCATCTTCCTTCACTGGGGCGTTTTCTCGGTGCCCTCCTTCAACAACGAGTGGTTCTGGTGAGTCTACATTATTGAGGACCAATCTTGAACAGCACGATTAAAACACACACATTCAATTGTTCAACAGGTACAACTGGCGCACACAAAAGTCCGCCAATTATGAGGCGTTCATGAAGAAGAACTACAAACCTGGCTTCACCTACGAAGAGTTTGCCCCTCAGCTGACGGCGGAATTTTACGAGCCGGAGAAGTGGGCTGATCTGTTCAAGAAGGCCGGCGCCAAGTACGTCGTGCTCACTTCCAAGGTAAGTCTGACCATGTTTGTTTACATCAGCTGATTGACTCATTTTTCCCTTTTTTCCAGCACCACGAAGGCTACACGATGTGGCCCTCAAAGTACTCCTTTTCGTGGAACGTCATGGACGTCGGTCCGAAGCGTGACCTGCTGGGCGACCTCGCCACCGCCGTACGCCACCACAACCTCACCTTTGGCCTCTATCACTCTCTCTACGAGTGGTACAATCCGATGTACCTGGCGGACAAGAAGAACGGCTTCAAGACGACCGACTTTGTCAGCAAGAAGATTCGCCCCGAGATGGAGGAGGTGGTGAAGATGTACAAGCCATCGGTCATCTGGTCGGACGGCGACTGGGAGGCCTCTGACGCCTACTGGAACAGTACTGACTTTCTCGCCTGGCTGTAAAATAGCACTGAACTGTGCAGTTAGAAAAATCATAGTTTATCAATTTTACTTTTGCAGGTACAACGAGTCGCCGGTGAAGGACGAGGTGGTGGTGAATGATCGTTGGGGCAGTGGCACCTCTTGCAAGCACGGCGGCTTCTTCAACTGCGCCGACCGCTACTTCCC